ATGAAAGGCAGGTCCTGCTTGACGAACCTGATCTCCTTCTACGACAAAGTGACACGCTGGGTGGACGAGGGAAAGGCTGTGGATGTGGTCTACCTTGACTTCAGCAAGGCTTTTGACACCGTCTCCCACAGCATTCTCCTCAAGAAACTGGCTGCTCTTGGCTTGGACTGGCGCACGCTTCGTTGGGTTAGAAACTGGCTGGATAGCCGGGCCCAAAGAGTCGTGGTAAATGGAGTCAAGTCCAGTTGGAGGCCAGTCACTAGTGGTGTTCCCCAGGGCTCAGTACTGGGGCCGGTCCTCTTTAGTATCTTCATCAATGATCTGGATGAGGGCATTGAGTGCACCCTCAGTAAGTTTGCAGATGACACCAAGCTAGGTGCGTGTGTCGATCTGCTCGAGGGTAGGAAGGCTCTGCAGGAGGATCTGGATAGGCTGCACCGATGGGCTGAGGTCAACTGCATGATGTTCAACAAGGCCAAGTGCTGGGTCCTGCACCTGGGGTGCAATAACCCCAAGCAGAGCTACAGGCTGGGAGATGAGTGGTTGGAGAGCTGCCTGGCAGAGAAGGACCTGGGAGTGATGGTGGACAGTCAGCTGAATATGAGCCAGCAGTGTGCTCAGGTGGCCAAGAAGGCCAACGGCATCCTGGCTTGTATCAGAAACAGTGTGACCAGCAGGGCTAGGGGGTGATCGTCCCCCTGTACTCGGCTCTGGTGAGGCCGCACCTCGAGTACTGTGTTCAGTTTTGGGCCCTCGCTACAAGAAGGACATCGAGGTGCTTGAGCGGGTCCAGAGAAGGGCGACGAAGCTGGTGAGGGCCTGGAGAACAAGTCCTGCGAGGAGCGGCTGAGGGAGCTGGGCTTGTTCAGCCTGGAGAAAAGGAGGCTCAGGGCGACCTTATTGCTCTCTACAGATACCTCAAAGGAGGCTGTAGAGAGGTGGGGGTTGGCCTGTTCTCCCACCTGCCTGGTGACAGGACGAGGGGGAATGGGCTTAAGTTGCGCCAGGGGAGTTTTAGGTTGGATGTTAGGAAGAACTTCTTTACTGAAAGGGTTGTTAGGCATTGGAACAGGCTGTCCAGGAAGTCGGTGGAGTCACCATCCCTGGAAGTCTTTAAAAGACGTTTAGATGTAGAGCTTAGGGATATGGTTTAGTGGGGACTGTTAGTGTTAGGTCAGAGGTCGGACTCGATGATCTTGAGGTCTCTTCCAACCTCAAAATTCTGTGATTCTGTGATAATGCCACCAGTCTGATTTGGGACGCCTGTCTGGATCTTGTCATGCCTCTCCATTCTAGAAGAGGCTTGTAATACTTTGAATATCTTATACACCCTCTGTGAATTAGGTGCAGGCTTTGACAATTGCACTGACAAGATACTCGGGCTGTTTTAGCATTTTGTGTCAAAGGGATTTCAAAACATCAGTCAACTGTAAATCATTGTGTGTAAATCCAGCCATCAGCCTAAGAATTGTTTCTGCCTCGGATATAGCCAGTTGTGGTATGTTGGTTGAAATGTGAGAGATGCAGTGCTCTTGGGGATTTCTGAGGTTTTTCTCCAATGCAGTATCTTTAACATGGGCTCAGTGTTTGTGTTCAGTCACTGAACACTTTGTTTAGTGGAGTCTAGGCTGCAAACAATTTTGATCTGAAAATGGGAGTTTAATGGCAGAAAGTCAAAGGATAAGTAGCAGGGGTGGTACAGAAAAGGTACGTGGGTGTACATAATGGTTCTGCAGTCTCATTACATTCTTACTAGATTTGTGTGTGTCAAACAGAAGGAGTAAAATGTCACACTGCTTGTGATGGATCTCTTCTTTTGGTTTCTACTCAAATCTTTAGTAGGCCGTAGATGTTTGAAGGCTGTAGATGTTTTCCTATTGTGCAAGGACATATACCTGAATGCAGCTTGTTAAACACCCACCGCTATGAGAGGACAATTGGAAACAAAAAAATTCCTCCCCTCCTTCATTGTTTATGCTGTTACACTGATCTAAGGAAAAAAAAGATACAATAAATGAGGATGGAAGTATCTGAATAAGTAGTAACTGCTGTTATTTTTGTTCTTTCAAGTATAATTTTGACAGCTGCTTTTCTTTCCTCGTGCCTGAAACCAAAAAAGCAGGGGGTAGTATAATTACATAGATGCTGTTGTGAGTCCATCAGTTACCAAAACAAATGGCTCAGTTGTTGCTTCTTCCAAATTCATGGAAGAGGGGTTTTTTTTTTTGTGTGTGTGAAGGACAGTGTAAAAATTGGCTTTAATACGTAATACTGACTTGCCAGGCCACTAGTTTTTAGTGTCTATTTGAGCTTATTAAATGAAAAGAGTCTATTAAATACTTTTTAGTAATTTGTCAAATTATGTATCACATCTCATTATTATAGCTGTAAAACAATTGGCTTAGCCAACAATGAAGTCTATAAAAATAGGAACTGATAATCAATAAGAGCAGTGCAAGGTGGAGCTCAAAGTCCTGGTGCTCGTCCAGAAGGGTGTCTCAGTGCAGTTGGTTGGTAGTCCTGCCTAGCAGAACAGATGCAAAGAAAGGTTTGTCAGATATAGGTGCATGACTTCAGTGTTCAGCGTGGCTGATTGCCTCCCCTTTTGCTGGAGTGATGCTGAGGCTGCACAACACAGTGTGGTTTGGGAATGTCTGTAGTTAGAGGTGGCTCAAACAGGACACCAGCGGTGCCAATGGGTATGGTCCCACCGCCTTTCTGCAGCGCTCTCTTTTCCATTGTGACCCAGCTGCTGCAAGCAAGTAGAGAAGTGCTGTTGTTGTCTGACTTCTGTGCTACCACAACCAGATGTCCCTTTCCTTAAAGGCATGTTGAGGCAGACTAAGCCTTTACCTTCTAGCCCTGTGACAGGGTGTGTTGTTTTGTTTTTTTTTGTTTGTTTGTTTTTCTAAAACAGTTTACTTGTCCTGTTTTTCATTTGTTTTTCACCAGGCTATTTTGGCACATTTTGCCCCTTCCAGTGAATGTCTGTATCATAAATAGGGCTTGATGCTAATAGGATCCAAACACTGAAAGTCTGTAATCCCAAATAAGCTTGCCTGTCCTTAAAATTTAAGTAGGAGAAGGTGACCTCCAGTAGCCAAAGCCTCTTTGCTTTTGGACACGTATCAAAAATATTTGTGCTGTATAGGAATTAATTCTTGTTGCTAATTTAACTTTGCAATTTTTCCTGGCCTCTGACGTTTCTTTATGATCTTTTTATGTTGTTTTGCTGTGTGGGAGTTGTTGTGTGAACCCTGAGGCCAGTTTCCATTGCTAGTTCTTTAAAAGAATCCCTGTACAGTGTCCCAGGGTACTAGTTCTAGATGCTGCTGTTTAAGAGGTACTGTGTAGCTTTTGACAAAGGCTAAGAGCATTAAAAAAAAAAAAAAGGCCTTAGTCTATGACAGAATAAATGTACATAGTAATTACATTTAATAATTGCTTATGTCTTTACACTTAGAGTTGCTGGTGTCATTTTTACAAAGTACACTGATGGGGGAAAGGCAACAAATACTTTTTACAAGGTAACATCTTCGGCCACAAAGTACTCGGTTTGACAGTTGAATTCAGTCTGAGTATCCTTTTGTAATACATCCCTTTGTTGTAAGAGTTCTTACTCAATGCACAAGGACACAACTGTTCTGATAAGCTGTCAAACCAAAAATATGCATTGACCTGCTTATCTTATACATGAAAATCATTAATACTACTTAGTGACACTAGCATGGTCAAAGGCACTTCTTTTTTAATTGAGACCCAAGTCTGATTCTTTCTTTTGAGGCAGTTTTCTGTCTGTCTGTGAAACACTGGTATTTTTAACAACAGCTTTTCAAGCTTGCAGAAGTTCAGACTTCACCTGTGGAGGCATTGGTCCTACAGCTACAACCAGCCTGAAGAAATGTCTGAGGTAAGCAGCTCATCCTTACACAAGGATTTTGGCTTTCTAAATTCTACCTTAAATATTGATATTTGCAGAAGTTTATTTTTCAAAGCACTGACTGATGAATAAATCAGTTGCTTGAGAGGAGGTCACTGTAATAGGACTGGTATTAAACACAAGGCTTACATTTTATAGCACCAGAACTAACCTTTGGTTAGTATGTCAACTGTCTTATGGTTGACCTGCCACTGTAATTTTGAGGGAAGCAGATGTTTACTATTAGGAGTATTCCAGTTAACATAAAGCTCAATTTTCAAAATTGAGCATAAATAGCATTTTAAAATAACTGCTGCCCTTAAGACTGGGAAATTGTACTATAACAGTGTGGCATTAACTGCGCAACTCAGAATAAGCATTGTTCAATTACCATTTGTCCTGTGGTCCATTGTTAAACTTACTCAAGTCCAATTTTATACAAACCGAGGCATTTTTGTGTTGTGAGTAACCATGGGTGTAGAAGGTTACCCAGAACTCTTTCTGTAGAAGTTAATAATCCCCCTTTTCCTGGAAAGGACAAGTTATTGTTTAGAAAATTTACATGCAGGACATTGAAGTACTCAAATCAAACTACAGGATTGCCATAAAACTTATTCACCTGTATGCCCTAGACAAAGCAGCGTCTTATAACTTCTTCCTCTTCTATGTAAAATTTTTTAGCATCTTTCCTGGCTCTTAGAACACTTCATGACTAGCAAAAGGAATAATTAGTTTTCTAAATTGCATTTTGATACTTGAAAATGCATATCATATGCTTTTAAGCATTGACAGTTTGAAATCTGGCAATTCAACTTAGAGAAAAAGTTGAGACTTCTGAAAGATTAATACCTGAGTGCAGAACTTCCTATTCTACAGCTGAGTAAGTAAACTAAATATTCAGTGAGAGTTGTGTGAAATGAAACTGTACAAAAAGAGCACAGAAAAAGGTTCAGTAAAGCACAGCAGAATGCCTGGGTACAGTGAGGTTGTGGGCCACCCTTCAGGCACCAATTACTGTCCCTCTTGCAAAATCAAAAAGCAACTGACAAATTATGTACTCAAGGTTTCCTTAATTGAGCAGCTGGCAGATCTCTCTGTGAACGCAGCATAAGAAATCCACATAAGAAGCTCCTCCATAAATATTCTTGTCTTCTACCAGGAACTGTCGGAAAAGGATCTCTGGCTGTTCCCGCTGTTTCACTATCATCAGCTGAAAAGAGGTAAATAAATATATTTAGGATACAGTCATGCTAAATGCTAGTACCACTTTTCTGTATCTATTATGCCCTACCAAGGCGGGGGGGGGGGGGGGGGGGGGGAAACATTAATAAATCCCCACAATTCAGTAGCTGTGTTTAAGAACACAGAAGCGAGACTTGCATGCAGTCAACAGCTAGTGCAAAGTAAGGTTTGCACAGTGAAAACGGTGACCTTCAGACTGCCTAACTCTGAAAATTGCCTTGGATGGAGAACTAGGTACATTTGAGGTACTTGGCCCTAAAAGGCATGCTGGAACTCCCTGGCGCACAGGGCCATTCCTGGTATGTAAAGCCTTGTACAGAGAAGTTTCGTCAAAGCTTGTCCTGTTCTGTTGAGCAGCTGTGAGGAACCAGTTGAGGCAGACAAGTCTTACCTTCATGGTGTAGGGCTTTTGGCTCTGGATGTGCTCCATTATTGACTTAATCTTCTTAGAGTATGGATTGTCCAGGTCAGGCAGTAATGTCTGTTAGAAGTGAAGCAGTGCAGGTTGTTATATTCCAGTTGCATCTCTTACAAATTCATACAAGACCAGTTGCTAATATTTATGATGTGACTTACTGTGCATTTCGTTCTAAACTGGGAAGTGCCACCTCTTCCACAAAACCTTGTAGAGTAATTCATCTGTCTATAACGCAGTTTTCAGTTTGAAGTAATCACAGTGTTAAAATTCATTATCAGGAGACACTTTAGCTATTACCAAGTGCTTTGTTCCTGTCTGAGCAATACATATTCAATAGGATTTTAGTATCTGTCATAGTGAAAGTTTAAGATACTTTGAAAGCTTCTCTTTTGTAATTACTCAAAGGGTAAAAGCTTACTACAGTTTTCTGTATTGCTTTTGGTGTCTTAATACCTTCTGCTGGTCACCTGTTTCTGCTTTTAGCTGAATGATGAATGCTGAAAATCCCTGTCACTGGTCTCTGAGTAGCATAAATCAAAGTCTGAAAAACTTGACTGGTTTCTCTTCATATACTCACAGCTTCTGTGCTGATGTGTGCAAAGGATGGCACATTGAAAAGCCCCTGTATGAGCTCTGGGGGTGTGCTGACCCCCAGCCACAGGAACATGCTCAGACCATTGGCCAGAATGAAGGCACCTCCTTCTGAGAGACGTTCCTCAGAGCAGCGGACAGCAGCTGGGACAGCGTCACTCTTCAGATCTAGGCTGTGCTGTGGGACAAAAGTCAGAGTTGCAAACCTGGTGATTTTAAGGTAACTGATGCTCCAACTAGACACTAAAAAAAAGTAAAGATAAAAAGTTTATCACGCCTTAGTGGTTCCTTTCCAGATGAGAGGAATATATAGAGAGAGCGGTCACACTTTTGTCAGTTTACACATTGCATGCTAAGGAAGACTTCCCCACAGTATAAAGATGCTTGCATACCAGTGCTGAGCTTTAATAAAGCAGGCACCTTTCCTTAAGCCTGGGCAAAAATCTTGTTAAAAGTACAGTGAGAGGATGCTGCTGTCAAGCTGCTTACCCATTTACTTTAAACTAGAGTTTCTGCCCTCCCTCCTCAATTTAGTTCAGCTATTTTTATTCAGCTAGCAACTACATCACTGTACAAATACAGTCCAGCTTGGTCATATAACACTTGCCTAGCACAAAGAAAATCTGCATCTGTACAATTTAAAACATCACAGCACACTGAAAGCCATCTCACTGAAAATGAACAGATGTGCAGGCAGCACACTTACAATTGGCAGAAGCTGGGGGTAGAAGAAGAGCTGGGTGTCAGCCACTCCCATGGCCATGACCAGCTGCTGATGGTAAGCTCTCTCATCAGTTGGAATTTCTGGTCTGCTAACGAGCACGCAGCTCTTGAGCAGGCAGTTCATGTACACTGGCAGCACCTTCATCGCGTCTGGAAGGATGAGCTGAGGGGCAGGAAAGATGTGTTGTTTAGTGTATCTCATGTGCTGGGGAACAACAGCTGGGCTTTCAAACATACAACTGCTTAATTCTTTTCTTTGATTTAAAAAAAATAGGAGGGGAAATATAGGTCTAGGTATCTCACAGGTATTGTTTCTAACATTTGGTCTTCACTGAGACTAAATGATTTATTGCCCAGACTTGGGATTCTTAGAAGCACATTACATGGTATGTAAAAGCCTAATTGGAAAATACAGCTTAGAGAAGACCAAAGGAAAATAATAACCTCTAAACAGAATGCCTCCAAGATTGGTGGGAGTGCTGCAGCCTCGCTATCAACTTCAGCATTTATATAGAAAATAGCCAATCGTTATTCAGAAAAGTAGGAAAAATGCCACCTCTTCCAGCAATCTTTTGAAGTACCTCAAAAGCTGGAAAATATGTGGTGATATCTTGGGAGTTGTAAGAAAAATTCAGGTTTAAAGGTTTATAGGATTGGAGTTTAGTCCATCCAACTTTGGATCTTTTTTTGAACTGGGAAAGTACTTTTTTTTCCAGAAACAGTTGCTGAAATAATTTGAAAGCACCTTATTCAGTAAACTTCCCCCCTAGTACTCTGTATATATAAAAAGAGGGAACTGATGATTACTACATTTGAAAGAATTTTCAACTAGCATGGAATAAAAGTAACCATGCTTACAGAGCTTCTTACTACTGTTTGGTAACAGTAAAAAAAAAAAAGGGGGGGGGGGGGGGGAGTTGTTGAATTGTATTTTAATCACTGTGGATTTTTTTCCCTAGGAGTATGGTCCCATCTAGACATCATGTATTTATCCCTCCAGCAGTCTTTGAGAGCGCTACACATAAATTCAGATTGTTTACTGAGTTACAAAGCTATTTTCAACTTTGACAACAGTCTTAATTGTCAAAAATCAAAATGCCTTTTTTTTTTAAACAGCGTAAGAAGAAAAATAAAAACTTTTGTTGTGAACTAGCATATGATTTCAGCAGGAAGAAAACCAGCTGTCTCATCTGTCTGGTATGAGCATGGTAATCAGCTTCCTCACTGGCACTGCCATTTGTCCCAGAACAGCCTCCATATGCTGCAATTGCTACCATTGAATCAAACCTGCCATTAATTAGACTTGGAAGAAGATGCAAAAAGGAGAAGTATGTCCTGAAGTTTCCCTTTCTGGCACTGCTGACATTGCAGGGGTGGTTGTTCCTCTGCTGCAATCGCCTAGCTTAGGCAGGGGCATCCTCACCTGGCTTACTGCTGATGGGCTGGCACAGTTCTTGCGGTAACACGCCAGCATGTGAGCTGTCTGATTGACCAGGATCTCTCTGACTGTCTTCAGGGGTTGGCTTAGAATAGCTTTAAAAGCTACAAATACAGAAGAACAAAAGAGTATGTTAATAACAGACACGCTTTTAGAGTATCTACATTTTGCTAGGTTTTAATTAGTTTTTAATATAGTAAAACTTACCTCTATGAGTGCCTTTTCAATCTTCCCTGTATCATTTTAGAGGATGCTTATTAATCTTCACAAAGAAAGGCCTATACACTTTCGTGCATTACCTGTTTCTAGCTACCTTCCCCAGAATTATTTTTATGGCATGTATATCTGAATACATAATGTACTTCTCTTTTCTACTTTGTAACAGAGTTGCAAGTTGCTGAGGCTTGGAATAGCAAGTTACAAAACACAATTTCCCACTAGGCAATCACTTCATCTCTCCTACCTTCCTCTTCTTCCACCCCTAGAGAAAGCAAGAACGAAACAAAACTGATCTGCTATAACTTTACCTGACTTAGCAAAGAAGTTGATCAGCGCGTCAGTCTCGCAAGTCTTGTAGACATCAGCTAACTGGGAGCTACAGTTTAAACCAATATTGTGGATGCGCAGTCTTCTTTGTCCACTTATTGATGTGTAAAGGACAGCACACTGCAACAGATGAGCCAATTACCATTCATTTTAAGTTTAAAACAAAAAGTCAGTCCGCAAAGTGTCCATTGTGTAAGAGCCACCACCTTGTACATCAAAGGCATGTAATTACTCCCAAGGACAGCCCAGCCTAGTAGTGCTGCTTCAGCATTAATTAACTAGAAAAACACCATACCTGTACATTTTGTGGAAGTAGATTAGACATGTAAATGCATTATAAAAATTATTAGCCTTAAAAGTATGTGTGTCATAAAAGTATACAAATACATGACTGATTGAAAGGCTTATTACTCTCTCATTTGCTACATACTGATGGTATCATCTGAAAACAATAGACCACCGATTGAAAATTTGTAAAGCACGTTATCAGCAACAGCAACACAAAAACTTAGTGATCTTGGAAAGTGAAGGGGGTCTTCTTACATGAATAAATTGCTTGTGAAGTGACATGAAGTCCTTCTAACCCCACCCCTGTATCTCATCCCTTCCATTGACTTAGATATTAAAATTGGAGGGATAATTTATGAATTTGCTTATGACGCCAATTCTGCTTTAATGTAACATTAGCATTTCGGGAAACCCTTTTCCAAGTATGAAAAGTAAAGGAACTGAGCTCAGGCTTTCCTGACTACTAACATTTTGCTGGCACACGCTCATTTCCTAGCACCGCAATCAAAAAAGAATCTCATCATCATCTACAGCTACAAACTGAAGTCTGCAAGGCAAATACCAACTGCAGTTGACTGCAGTCAGACATGCACTGGATCTACTGCATGTCTCTGTCACAGGGAAGCCAGGTAAACACAACATCTACATGGCACGCACTCTTCCTGTCAATGCTGCAGCACTGCTTCAGGAAGTGATGGCAGACATACCAAAGTGGATGTTCCACAGTACTGTATTTGTGCAAGGATTAACTGCTAGCCTAGGAAGGGTTATTTATAGGGGCAAGATAAAAGCTAAGCAGAGCAGAAATGAACACTCAGATAATTCCATGGCTTAAGTAAGTTCAAAACCTTGCAAGCTGTAACATTTTCTGCTGTTAATAAAAGAAAAATATCATGACAAAATACCTATAACAGTAAGTGGCAATGTTGCATTATCTGCTGATGGTTGGGGCACATCTTTTCTTAGGCACAGGCATATCACAAGTGTTGGCAAGTAAGCAGAGAAATGCCAGTTTTAATTGTTGCCTAATCTGCATTTCCAGGAACTACTATTGAGGCATGCCCTACTGCAGAATAAGAAGGGAAGCACGGATCTCTTGAGTTTCGGAACAGCAAGTTATGGCATTGCAAGTTCGCAGTCTTTGGCTTACCTTATTAGTGGTACTATGACATCAGAGTCTGTGCAAGCTGTACCTTCCTCCCCTCAGTGCCTCGGCATAACGTCTTTTTTATTATTATGGCTGCAGAAGTTCTTACTCTCAATTTCAAGACATGGTATGTCTTTAAGGTGTTTTTTTTTTACCTGAATTAAGGCGCCACTGTCTTCATTCAGTTTGTCATCATGTTTGAACTCTACCGTCACTGCCTTGTCACAGTCAACTGCTGCCATTTCTACATCTGTGGTGTTGTTCATGTAAATTGCACCAAAGAAGTCAGTAGCCCTGAAGCCTGTAGCCAGATAAAAACAACAAAAAAATATATTATTTTATTTAAAAATCACAAGTGCCATTATTTTGTGACTTCTTTTTTGGTCATTCAATTTTGCTTACTAACTAAAATGTGAACCATTTCCCCTCATGCGTGTGCAACCTCAGACAACACCTTCTGTGAGGACAAGCAAAGCTGTTCACTGTTCTGATGGGCCACGAAGAGGTGCTGTGGCTCAGAGACACCCAGAACCTTTTGCACTGTTCACTTGGCTGTTTTGTGTGTCTGTATTTCTCAAATACTTGCATTTGAGGCAAGAATAATTGGTTGAGAAGTAAGAACATTAATTTGAAGTAACGAAAGAACATGCAAGTGTCCAGCAACAACACCCTCTTTTGTACAACTTATTTGCATTTCAGGATGCATGCATAGTGATCAGAAACCTTAATCGTATTTGCAGATTTAAGTAGGTATATACAGTAAGGGCACACTCATTTTACCAGTCTATACTGTTCAAAAGGTACATAATGAAGTTAAAACAGGAAGCTTGACGTTACAAGTGATCTGTAGAGCACTTCAGCACTGTGTTATTTACAGTTATATATTCTCACATGCATTCATGTTTATTTTCATTCCCAATGGTACTGTTACCTGTACTTGTCCGAACCCTCATTATTGCATCAAAGCCGGTCTTTTTTTCTATGTCCTTCCTGAGGTCGGTGAGGAACTGGGGGCTATCAGAACTGAGCTGAAAGTGTAAAGCACAAGTTGCAGTTCACCAAGGGGTGGCAGCAAACCAGCAGAAATCCAGCACTCCCTCAGCCTGCTGTGAACTCTGCCCCTTCCCTCCCCCCCCTCAAATCTTTTCACAAGTAACATCTCTTCTCTTAAAAATGGCAAGAAATGCCAGTTGCTGTTTTATTAACAGAAACAAAGATGTGCAAGTATCCACCGTTAATTCATCTCTAAGCTTGGTCAAGCAGTATTCCTTTCAATCAAACCTGTTTCCAGTAACATCCATCCTTGCACCTACCCTTGACAGGCTAGCTGGGATTTTGTGGTACAGCTTTAATAATTAGTCTTGTTCACTTAGCAAAAACTGGTTTTGCAGATCAGCTGATGACACGGAGAGAATTCCACATGAAAATTCCCATGAAATTTTAAACAAGTGTTGTTTACAATTTCTTTGGCTTTTTTTTTTTTTTTTTTTTGGGGGGGGGGGGAGTAGTGTCTTTATCATAAGTATTTTGAACTGTAAATGCAGGAGTAATTAACTACCCTGCTCAGATGTCACCATACGTAGGTAAGCAGGTTTAATTTTAAGATACCAACCAACTTATGCAGAAGTAAAATTACAGTCTCAAGATATTTGCGCCTGATCTGCTGTTTCTACATTTTGAATTTTACCCCCTGGGGTCTATAAATAATTTTTCTAGAGTTGCTCTACTTTTACGCTGTCAAAGCATGCTTTGAAATAAAAGCAACCAGTCCCCAGGTGTTACTATCTGATTGGTAGGAAACTCGCATCACTTACCTGGAAATTGTTGTACTTGTACAATGTTCCTCCAGTGTACATTGTGACAAGACCCAGGGAGGCTATGTCCACATACTGATTTGGGAAGAGGAACAAATTCACGCAGCAGCCGTTAGCCACGCAATCTCTGGCTAAAGTCTCATAATAATTTACTTGAGGCTGGAAGAGTGTCTGCACAGAATTAAAAAAATACAAATGTGATAACATTAGATACTGTTGGTAGCCAATCACAATCCAAATACCCGAACGAAAATTAAAAACGAGACATGGATTTGATTGTAATGATGTTGCCCCTGCTCATACATTCTATCACCACATATATGCATTGAAAACTCAGTCTGTTCTTGTAGAACTAAATCACACCTTGCAGGTAGCAAAGGCTCTTGGAAGGTGGAATTATTTGCAGCTGGTTGATTTCCTTTACTGATGGGTGTTGCTGCCTGGCCCATACTTTAGCCTCATAGTTCTTGTAGGGCCAATCCCTATATGTTTATACCTAAATCATCAGGGCACAGTGTAATATGGGAATATTATGTATTTAAACAACAATTATTTGTAAAAGAAAAGAAGTGAAAAAGACCAAGGCTCTACTAGAGGAATTTAGTGTAATAGCAGTCCCCTGTGAACTCCAAGTAGAAAATACCTTTTCTTTATCTGTATTGAGTAGTTTTTTGTCATCTCTGTTTCTCAGCTTCCCTGGTGCTTCCGCAGTTGGCAATGAAGAATGGAAGATAAACAATTTTCCAGCACATTCTGCAGCCTGTTGCAAAGACACCATATTGACATTTATTCTATTACTCAGATAAACAAGCCTAATTTTCATTCATATGCTGTGGTATCTCTAAGAACAGTGCAAACTTTCTGCAAAAGTTCTTCAGAGCCAAACCATTCATTTAGTCTTTACACTTGATGGAAGTGAAATCCCAAAACAAACTGGGAATTTTGTGTCAGTAAATAACTTAGTCTAACACAGATCCTTTGGATGATGCACCGGTACAGTAATTCCTACATGGGACACTAAAATCTTGGTGGGCAAAACTAGAAGTACCTAGAGACATTTAAGTTAGATACAAGCATTATGCAGCAAGCAACAAGGATAAAAGGTTAAAAAAATACTGCTTCTTCAGTTTGGGTGCACTGTTATCCACTGTATTTTTAGAGAAGAACAACAATTACATTCCTGGACTAGATTCCACATTTAAACTACACTAAAATGTAGAGCATCAAAACTTGTGATTAACGTTAACTCTTGTCACTAAGAAATAAAGTAAAAGCTGGTTTTACTCAAGTTTTCAATTGTTACCTAGAACTCTAATGAGGCCATAGGATTTGCAAACTGGGACGGCAAACTGCTGACAAAAACCCTTCAATTCCAAAGAAGGGAATAGCAACGGTAGCCATACCACAAGCATCTTTGTACTGCTAACAAGCTCTTCCACCAAAATTTACAAAATCCAGTTTTTCGCTTGATACTGAGACAGTTAATAGGAATGAAAACTGGTTAGTCTTCAGAATTCTAAATCCTTAAGCACTGAAGAAGTTGGGTGAAGGTGAAAGGAAGGAAGGAGGCATTTACCCTTTTCCTGCTCCAGGCTTAACCACACATCTAGTTTAAAAATGTAATACCTGAGAGTACTGACACAAATGGGCTTTGGTACTCTTTCCCCTCCAGATCTTAATATATCCACAAGATACTCCACATTTCAAAATAAGCCATGGCATTCTTCTGGGAAAACTAGGAATTTGCTAACTATGGCAGAAATGCAATCAAAGACAGTATCTTGCTTTTAACAGCTGAATCTCACCCGTAATAGCACGGTTACCTTTAATCATGAATGCCAATTTCAGTTACTCTTAAAAAGTAGTCTCTAAAGAATGCAAGATTGAGTTACCACCATACGCATCAAGAATTACTAACACTACTTTTGACAATGTGTCTAAAATGCATATACGATTTCTAAAGATTTATGAATCTCAAAGAAGAATATATTTTATTCTTCTCAGATTAGTTATTTTCTTGAACACATGTATACGCATATTAATGATTCCCAGGGAGCATCCTTGCAACTTATAACTTTAAAATACTAGTTAAATAAGAAGTTTATTTGAGAAGTGTTTTTATAGGAACAACATCAAAAGGAAATTTACATTTATGGGTGTTAAGTTTGTTTTGTAGAAGTCAAATACTGGGAAAGAACATTTTGATAGAAGTGGTAACCAAATGTATAAATGTTTTGCACACATACATTCTACTACGAGTAAGAAGAAAACAAGTATCAGTTACATATTTAAGAAATGGGATTTGAGAGATGCTGTACAATTTTGGCTCAATATATCTACTCAGAGTTTGAGCTCACAGATAAATCAATCTGTGTCATTCTTTTAATTGGCAACGCTCCACAGAAATGCCAGCATTTCAAGGGATATCCCTGACATACAGCAAATTACTTAGATGCATCTAGAAGTCTGTACAAACATCCCGAATTATCTATTAGTTATCTTAATTATACTGTAGTGACTAAACACCTTATCTCTTAAATGCTGAATAAGAAACCAAACTGGTCTTTTCCAACTTAAGTGATTCTATGACTGGTTTCGCTCAATAAGGAGAATCTGGAAATAGATGTTACACTTGTCAGTTCTTTCTAAACAAAAGGAATTCAAAGGTGCTGTTACAATAATGGGACATCAGTGCTGGAAACGATCAGTGATTATTATTTATTTATTTATTTTTTCTCATTTCCCATTATGATTTGTAGAAGGATTTGGCACTGGTCTTTAGCAAGCTACAGGTTATCATGCCTTGTTCTAATTAAAGAACTACTTTGACAGAGAGGAACATTGTAACCTTTAGTGCCTCCATGCCAGCCTGGATAACAGGAGCAAAGATGGTCTCACTCTCATTAGTGTCTGCAAACATCTCTGGAATCTGGTCCAACAAGCTATGAAAGAAGAAAGGTTCAGTGTCTGAACTGGTTAGCATATTTGGGATAATCCCCAAAAATGTGACATACCAAGTCTTCATAGAGGAATTTCTTTTCCATGCAAGTTTATACTTAAAAATTTTGATTTCTTAGGATTCCAGCCGGAATAAAATTAAACATGAATTTTAGAATTCTATTGAAATGCATTATTTCAAAGCTGGTAACATAAAGGAACATGCATTAAATCAAAAATAGCTAAAAATAAAGGGGTTCAGGTATGGATAAAGACTTAATAGTCTTTAGATCATACCTAGGCATGCATCATATATATAGAAGGAAAACCAGGAAAAACATTCAACATGGCACAAAGCCACAACTTGCCCTCCCACTTCAGACAAAGCAGAACTGAAGATGCCTGGCTCACAGCTTGTCTAAACAGGCTTTCAAATTCAGCACTGCAAGTTGCTGCTACCACTTTTGTTTCCCCTCAAATGTGGAAATGCAGGACTTGGTGCATCTGCTGAATTGTAAAGCATTTCAACAAATTCATGCATCCTCCAAAACCCTGTAACACACCTGACTAAAAGGGAAAATGTCTATTCTAAGCATTCAGCTCTTATTCAGATATGGAATTGTTGTACTTTACTTGTTAACAACAGATCGTGATTCCTGAAAGTCAACAAGGAAACCATCCAGCAAAGGAACAAAAACTTCTCCGACATCCGAGACCACCATCATCTGAGGCTGAGCTAAGTTGCTTTTTACATTAAAGAAGTGGAGGACCTTGTTATAAGTGACAAAACCAACTCGAATTGCTGAGGATTCTTCTTGCTCTTCTCTGTGAGAAATACAAAAAAAAAAGTGGTTAAAATTCTGAAACTCTGGCCTTGCAATAAGAGCATTACTTTGAAATGCGGGGCTGCTTTCAGATCATTATCTGTACTGGGAGCAACAAAGCAAACAACCAACCAGATGTAATTGCCCCAGTCTTTGCCTCCAGTCAAATTAAAACAACTTGATTAAATAAACTCTTGTAATTTTATTTTATTTTTTAACATATATCTTAAAGTCACCCCTATCAACTGTGCATCCCATTCAAGCAGGCTAGAGTATGTAAGATAAAGAATAGACTATATCTGCAAAACATGGAAAAGAGGTAACAGGACAATCCTTTACAAAACACAATCAGAAAATCAGCTTTATTTAGAATACACTGTAATTCAGTGACACTAATGATCAGCGCCTGGAGAGAGCAGTTACCAGGCTTGAATAATGTCTGAGGCACTGAAGCCTGAAAGTCACCAATCTTCTGCTTTGGCAGGACTGCTTTTAAGCAGCAAAAGGTCTTGGATCCCTCATAACTGTGCATCATACAGGAAGTGTACTGTAGAAATTTTTTGTTATTCGTGCTGTGTTCCCAGGCTAGCTAAAGCTCACAAACTGCTGCTGCGAGCTACACCTCACCTGCAAGAACACTGTGAGCAGTGAGCTCAGGAGCTCTTTCGCAGGAGGTAACTCCCCTAAGCACTAGCTACTGTGTCATTAGTAGCAGCATCATTAATAAAACTAGTGAGACCAGGTTTGCAGCCCTAAGTTTATTAAGTCAAATTCCAAAAATCAGTCTTAATTACTTCTAAAATAGCACATTCTTTTGGTTTTACAAGCTTCACCTAAAACCTTGAGCTTGGGAGGGAAATGATTTTTCACGTCTACGATCTTTAACACGCATGTCAGTAAAGAACACTAAGCCACCATTTCTGTTTTGTGGAAACCGCTGGCTGAGAAAGGAGCTACTTTTGATTTAAAACAAACCAATATTCTATATGAACGCATTCTGTAAAGAAGCATTTTAAATAATCTCTCTGAGATCCTCTAACTCACATAGATGCATCCTTTCTGAATGCAAGTCTCTAATCACTCCTAGCAATCAGACACTACTATTTTCTAAGTAACGTGATTAACAGGGAGCATTCAGGACAAGTTATTCCTAACTTCAGGCACATACAGCACTTTCCTACTTCAAGGAGCAATAGCCGCATCATCCTACTGGTTCCAACGCTTTTACACAGCAGGTTACACAGCAGGTATGTGGGACAATTTCATCAGACACTGCTCCTTACAGTGTGGCAGTGTACACTATACAATGTGATTTCTTCTATCATTGTTTCAAAGGTCACTTGTCAAACACAGCAGCTGATTGCCTGTGTGGCTAACACACTGAGTTCTTTTTAGTGCCTCAGAATGAGATGTCTGAATCAAATGCACTCAAATGTTTTTAAGTTATATGTCTAAAAAATCATACTGGTACAAATAGCGTGATTTTCTGAGGTCAGGAGCAGAATTTCTGTAAACACATTTCTCTATTTATCTAAACAGAGAATTAGTGTTCTGGTTTAGAACATCTAAATTTGAAAGTGCCTGCCCTAAAACTTCTAGCAAGCAAATAATATGTTTGCTGCTGTGCTGCAAATCTGCAGAAGCATAAAGCCCTTTTAAAACAAAGTCGCTAGACACCTAACTTAATCCATTATTTGCTAGCTTTAATTTCTCAGCCATTCTCACAGGCTTACCTGCCACAAGCCGCTATACCAGTGGCCTTTTTGTTACACACATTGCTCTGTTAACCAGAAGTCTTTCCTCTTAAAGAATTTGGGCTCCCGGAAATCTGAGCACAGGGTTTTCACCTCATGTGATAACAGCAGAATGTTTTTGCAGGTGTCTTTCTTCAGCAACAGAAAATGAACACACAGTGAAGTTCACGTCTTAGCACCAAAACAGAAGTTTCACCACGAATGCTGGTGGAGTGAGTGCCTGATTATTATTATTTTTCAATTCATATTGTTTAAAGGCAACATATCACTCTGAAGAAACCAATGGGCCTGCCCTTTATTTATCTATCTTGCTTTTTTCAGTGGACGTGAAAACTTTGTCCATGCAAACAGGGTATTTAGCAGTAGATATCTACAGAGTGCTTCTGAGGAAGTGTATGTTACTTCTTGTGATGTAGATACACTTGCTTTCATTTTTCCTTTACTTTCTCTATTCAAGACCAGGTGTTCCTAAACTGCCAATTGTTTTTTGCTACTATACCCATGGCCTTTTATTATCTTCAGAGTCATGACCAATCCTGATAGAAAGCTCTGAGATACATGTATGTGCAGGACAATATCAAACACTCGTGTCTCCAGTGTAATCTTCAACGACAAAGTGCTCAAGGGATGGTCTTACACGGGCATCTGACAAACTCCCCACCCTGAACTGGAATCTCTTTCATGCACAGAGATCACATATGTGAAATGTGACAAGCACATATGATAAAAAGATTAACATATCCCTGTTCATCTCAAGGGTCTTGTCTCCCACTCTTCCTCACTTTGCTCCCTCTGTTTCTTAAGCATGTTCTCCCTCTATAAACACTGTTATTCAGAATGCATTTTCTTCTGTATGCTCTTCAATCCTTTTGTATGCCTCAACTAATAAACACCTCGTCTACTTAATTTTTTCAGTCTGACTGCCACTGCTTTCATTTAACTGTCAGCATTATTCATTAGTGAAAACTGCACTAAACATATACTGAAAACTACATGAAACTATACTAAAGCAATATACTGTGATTAATACAGATCAGTAGTAATAGTACTACTACACATTTAATGCTGTGTCGTGGTTTAACCTGTCCGGCAGCTAAACACCACGCAGCCGTTCACTCACCCTCCCCCTCCAGGACGGGGGAGAGAAATGGAAAGTGAAGCCCGTGAGTTGAGATAAAGACAGTTTAATAAGACAGGAAAATAATAATAATAATACAATGATAATAATAGTACTACTACTAATAATGTGTACAAACAAGTGATGCACAATGCAATTGCTCACCACTCGCTGACCGATGCCCAGCCTAACCCCGAGCAGTCCGGCCCCCTCCCCCCGGCTAGCCACCCCTGTATTTTGTTTAGCATGACGTCAGATGGTATGGAATACCCCTTGGGCTAGTTTGGGTCACCTGTCCTGGGTCTGTCCCCTCCCAGCTCTTACTGCACCCCCAGCCTGCCCTGTTGGCAGGACAGAGCAAAAGGCTGAGATGTCCTTGGCTTGGTATAAGCACTGCTCTGCAACAATAAAAACATCGGGGTGTTATCAGCACTCTGCTCATCCCAAGCCAAAACACAGCATTCCACCAGCTACTAGGAAGAAAATCAACTCTGTTCTAATTGAAACCAGGACATGCTGACATAGCAAACATGCCATACTTAACAGAATGTCAGTTGCCTACAAGATTTGCTCACCTCTCAGATACATACCAGGGCAGAAAAATCTCACAACAAAGCAAACTAAGTTCTGCTGATTAAAAAAAAAAACGAGCTAAAGATACAACCTACCAACACTGGCTTTAGAGAGACTTTACTTTCTTGAGATTCTGGTTTGTGGTATTTCTCTGCTTAATCTAACGAGAACAGCAGCACTGCAGTAAACAGAACCACAGCACATAAAGTCAAAACTACAAGCTGGGACTTAGCTGATAATACCACTAGAGTTCAGTACAGGAAAAGAAAACAAAGTGCTACATGTTCAGTCAGTACAAGGCATTCCTTCCGTTCATATCGTAAACCCAGATATCAATCTTAATTTTTCAAAAACTGCCAGCAATTTTTAAATTACCATTTAGTCACTACCACCTCAAAAATACCTGTATTGTAAGTTCTGTCATTTTTTGTACTTTCTTGGTTTTACCTCTCAACATGCAGAGCTTCTTGTAAACTGCGGTATGGTACATTAAGCAAAACCCATGTATGTTTCTTTACCTTGGAAGCTTATCTAGCAGTGTCTTCAGTTCCTCACATATGAGTTTAACTAGACCACTGTTTATATTTCGGTATGATACATCAATCATGAAGATATAAGCTGGTGGATTTGGAGGCTTGTTATTCTATGGAAAAAATATTCACAGAGAAAATTAGACAGTGTCCTGTTATGTCAAAAAGATTTACAAAAAGGTACCATAGGGCAATCTAAATACTGTGTTTAGTCATTTGAAAAATGCTATGAATTAGAAAGAGTAATTACTACAGAAAGATGGCATGTCCTGGGTAAGCACCATCCTTGGAATAAACTGTACTACTGGAAAATAGATCCTAATAGAATAAAATACGTAAAGGATAAAAGTTTATTAGATAAGATGAAATACTAGCATTTTCTATTGGACTTCAAGTGTTTAAACAAATTTGTTTCTGTATTCCATATATGCTTACACAATACCATTTTGTTTACAGAAATGCTTAAATTCAGTTTTTGTTAACATTTGCCTCTAAAAACTGTTAAGCAATTTCTAACCAATCTGGAAACAGAAAATGTGACTTACGTACTGAACCAGAATTAAAATACTGCAATCTCTAGCACCACCAAGTGCTCATCTGCATCCTCCCTGTCTTGCTTTCTCATGCCCCAGTACACTCTGGACAGATAAGAAAACTGTACTTTCAGGAATAAGCTGATTTTCTGTAAGATAATTAAAGCACTAGAGTGTAATGCTCGATGTATGCAACTGCTACATACAGAGCAGCGACTCAGACTGGTACAGATTCCTTTTGGCACAGCTTCTTAGCCACAGTCATACATAAGAGACATTTAAGTAGCATACATATTGTCATATACACTACTGACCAAGCTTCTGTAACTAACAAGATGATGATTGTTTTATTTTTGTTTATAAACAAAGTAATGTAATGCTTACTGATGTGCCCAGGAAGATCATATAGAGTGCACATAGCAACAGTAATCATCATGGGCCTAGCCGTATGCCTAAATTCAGTTTTTCTAATTCTCATTAAGATGAGTAGTGGTCATTACCTGGTGTCAAGTTCAGGACAACTTTTGCATTATAGTTACATATGCTATTTCACTGCCTTCATATAAAGACTTCTGACCACTTACCAAATTTTACTCATTACAAATAATCTGCAGAAAACTCCATATAACAAAAAAATCATCTAATCCTTGAAATATGACTTATCCATAGTCATATCCTCAGAAC